AAACATGTAATGAAGTTAGCTTTATATTATTATTTTTAAATGTTACACGAAAAAATAAAAGCCGCTGCCTTACATTTTAAGTACAATCAACTTGGATGTTTGTCATTTCAACTTAAATGAAATAAAACTGACTTAAATTTTTTTTGAAACTTGTATAACTTATTATAAAAAAAGTTAAACATGGTTTTAGCAATGTTAAAGCAATGTGAAAACATATGTCTACTTATTGATCATATATTTTTTTTTACAGTTTTATATCTGTATAATTTGTACTTTAATGTCTCACTATCAGCAAACAAAATAAATTATAATGTTTTTTGCTTGGGCGAAGTGTTAAAAACGTTATTTCTGACTGCTCTCTGAACATTTAAAACATCCATGTTGCAAAATGTTTTTCTGGTTAGGCGAACGCTATAGAAAACATTAAGAAAATGTTCCATTATTTCATTTTGCAAATGCAATTTTTTTGTATTTCATCTGAACATTCTGAAACAATAAGTAGTCATTTAAATAATAATATTAAAAAAAAAACTTTGAACAAATGTTCTATAAACATTACAGAAAGAATATTTTGTTCAGAGAACCATGCCAGAATGTTAGCTAAGTTTCTGAAAAAGGTCCTCGTAAGCGGCGTAGCTTTTTAATGTATTAAAAACTAATTTCAGCTTCATATGGCTGAAAGTCAAATAAACTCATCTGTGATTCTAATTATATCTCTTTCTCATTTCACTTTCTTCATCTCATTTACTTATGCCCTCCAACCTTTAAAAATGCTCTCATTAACTTGAGTGATTAGCTCAATTAGCCTTGTGCTCCACAAGAGGTGCAGATGCCGGCATGTCCGCGACAAACCAATCAGGAAGGTAAAGAGTTCATAGACATGCATGAGGTCCTGCTAATTAGGAGTGAAAATGAACCTAATGTGTAGGGATATGGAATGGTGAGGCTGGTGGAATGGAATGAGGGGAGCTTGCATAAACATACACGCTTTAAGAAAGAGGAGGAATGCAAAAAAGTGTTCCCTCTCACCCACTTCACCAAGTAGTTTCTCTCATCTCCCCCACCCCTCTTTCAGGACAATGATTAATGAGAGCAGGGGATTACAACAGCACTGGAGAGCAACAGAGCCGTGCTCCCAGTGGCCAATCATCAGAACCTAATGGCACATTCATTATGAATGGATCCCTGTTCTCATCTTTCATTCTTTTTTTTAAAAAATAAAGAGCTGAGCATGGATTATTATTGCAGTCATCAGACCTCGTCTAGTCTGCTTCTTATTCATATCATTGCAACACATTACATCAAGATCCAGCTACAAACTCTCAAGTTACATTAATTTTTTTTTCTTTAAAAAGCAACACAAAGCAAACAGATTTTATTTTATTTAGCTTGATTAATTGCTTTGTCTTTATTGCAGAGTTTCGAGGTTGATTTGATGCCAATATCTTTTTTTTTTTTTTTTGCTTTAAGGCAAAATGACTGAATGTTGTACGAAGCCTCAGTGAAGATTTTCCAATAAAATAAGAAAAGATCCATTCATTTTTAGTTACATAGCAAGGCCATTGACTAAATTAAGAATAAGTTCTGGTTTGTATTGGATGTTTTTTGAAAGAACCACATGACCGACGAAAATGGTTTCTTATGCTCCTCAAGGCTCCATTTATTGATGTAAAACACTGTTAAAAACTAATATTGTGAATTATTATTACAATATTAAATAATTATTTTCTATTTTAATGTATAACATTTTTATTTATTCCTGTGATGGCAAAGCTGAATTTCCAGCAGCCATCCAGTATTTAGTGTCAAATGATCCCTCAGAAATCATTCTAATTCTGATTTGGTGATCAGGGAAAATTTATTATTATTATAAATTTGGAAACAGTTGTATTGCTTAATATTTTTGTGGAAACTGTGATACTTTTTTCAGGATTCTTTGATGAATAGAAAGTTCAAAAGAATAGCAATTATTTTAGATAAATCTTTTGTAACACATGTATTTACTGTCACTTCTGATCAATTTAATGACATTCTCTGAATAAAAGAAGGCTATTGATTTAAAAAAAAAAAGTGAGTGGTGGTGTAAAAAGCCCAACCACAGTTGAAAATGTAAATAAAGAAATAGTTAATGGACCATTACAGGAGTAGTTCCCCCATGCATCCAAGATGTCCATGTCATTCTTTCTTCAGTCGAAAAGAAATTTTTTGTTTTTTGATGAAGTTTTTTGATGAAAACATTCCAGCATTTTTCTCCATATAATGGACTTCAGTGGGAACCAAACGATTCAGTGCAAACTGTTGAAAGGGCTTTAAACGATTTCAGACAATTAATAAGGGCCTTATCAAGTGAAACGATCGCTCATTTAAAAAAAATAAATAAATAACAAAGTTTAAGTTTTATAAGCTCAAATGGTCGCCTTGCTCTGTTCTGTGATGCGCGTTCGTGACTCTCCTGTTCGAACTCATTCATCAAAATGAACAAATCTTTTTTCATGTAATTTGGTTCATTCAACGAACAAAGTTGACTCGGGAAAAGATTTGTTCATTTTGATGAACGAGTTTGAATAGGAGTCACAAACACGCATCACACCCTTAACCCTAACCCTAACAGAGCAAGGCGACCATTTGAGCTTATAAAACTTCAACTTTTTTTTTTTTTTTTTTTCAATGAGCGATCGTTTTGCTTGATAAGACCATCGTTTGAAATCGTTTAAAGCCCTTTGAACAGTTTGCAGTTTGCACTAAAACAGTTTTTTGGACCTTGAACCGTTTGGTTCCCACTGCAGTGCATTATATGGAGAAAAATGCTGGAATGTTTACATCAAAAACCTTAATTTCTTTTCGACTGTAGAAAGAAAGACATGGATATCTTGGATGACATGGGGGTGGGGACATGGGGGCAGACCCATGGCCACCAAAGCGCTTTACATATTGCCTCACAATTACCCATTCATACACCAACGGCGGTGTCAGCCATGCAAGGTGCCATCCAGCTTGTCGGGAACAGCTGGGGTTAGGTGTCTTGCTCATGGACACCTCAACACTTGGTCAGGTGGAACCAGGGATTGAACGACCAACCTTCCGGTTTGTAGACAACCTGAACCACTGCCACCCCAATGCCAGTTTAAAGCAAAAAATATATATATATATATATATATTTAATAAATATTTCAAAGGTTAACTTACTACTAAGTCTATGTTCACATTGTCAGTCCAATTCCGATTATTTCTGTATCTGATTGGAATCGGAACTAAATTATTGACTTTCCACACTAGCTTCCTACTATCCAGATGTTGTGTGTCCCGTAGAGCTCTTTGGTTTCTGGACTATCTGTGTTGGGTTTTATGGCAATAACGTTGTGTTAGGCATATGGCAAAAATAACAAAAAAACAGCAATGTGGAGAGGTTGGCAATGCAGATTTGAGGTGCAGGATGATTACTTTGTCAGCAGCAGTTGTCATCCTTACCGCCAGTCTTAAAATTCAACATTTCTCCATTATATTATAATTTTCTTGTAATGTTACCCAACATCTGACGTAGCGTAAGAAAGTGCAAAACCATGCAAAATCAGACTGAAACGGATTTCCAGAAATACGATTTGAAAAGGTTTTCAAACCACATACGATTGTAGCTCAAAGCAGATTTTTTGCCATTCACACTTGTTAAATATAATCAAATTCCAATCAGATGCACAACAAGTTGGATTTTAGCATCCAGTCTGAACAAGGCTTAAGTGGCTCAAAGAATCCACTTTTAAGTAGGCCTACCCGGTAGGCTATTCCCGAAGTTCTCACTCTTTAAAACCAGTTCTAGTTAGACTGATTTATAAAAAAAATAAAACAAAAATTAAATTAAATATCTACTCGCATATAAACTCACATGCAGTCTCAAGGAGATAGCAGAGCAAAGGTTAAAAAAAAAAAAAGTATTTCCCATTCACATCTGGCCCCAGCCAGAGGCCTGTTGATCCCACAGGGGGTTTCTGGGGCCCAGGTTATGATGTTATACAGCAGACTTGGTATATGGGTCAATGACAGCTTGTTTTTTGTGAAGTTTGTTCACATTAATGAAAAGAAAACTTAAAAAAAAAAATCTTGCTGTCTAGCAAGTTCTTAGAAATGTTTGGTTTTGAAAAAAAAAAATCAAAAGTTATTCAAATCTTAATACAAATTAAAGCAGTTTTGTTGAAATGCAGACAGCAGCAAAACCCTGCATTGTGGCTAGTGGAGACATTGTGCATTCCCTTCAGTTTAGAGAGGTAAAACTGTCCATTGGACACACATAAGTTCCCAAAAAATCTGTCTGAGCACCTCTTCCATGCTGACTAACCACACAAACACAAGCACACACTCTCCTTCAACATAATTACAGCGGTCATCTGACCTTTCTTTTCCTCTCCATGACTGCTTTGTGTCCGACTGATCTCAACAGAGCAATTCCCGTTCTGTCTGCACAGTATATATATATATATATATATATATATATATATATAGGGCACCGAAAGGAAAGTCTGGAAGAACGACCAGAGGTCAGTGTTGTCTATATGTTGTCAGAGAGAAAATCCACTGATGAAAAACAGTTTTACATCATTGCCTTGTACAGAAATATGAGAAGGGTGAAGCTGTCCTGTGAGACCAACAAGTCAGACCTCTGATGTATTTTTGTGAGACATCGCTAGGTCAAAGTCAGATCTTTCATGTTGTTTTTTTGAGGCAAACTGAAATCTGTTGAATGTGATAACTTGTGCAATGACAACCAACACCAAAGGACCATCCAAAGTTCAACTGAACTCAGAAACATGCTCAAATTAGTACAAGAGATGGACTCTCGGGTATAAAGTAATCGTTCAATAAGTTCTACAAACACTCCCTCATCTGTCATTGGTCCAACACACACAAGAGAGTCACATCCCAAACTCATAAAATACAATATCAATAACATACACAATCATACAATAACAAATACATTTCCTTAATAATTGTGCACAGGGACATCACCCAGTCATTTTACACCTTTAATTTACCCTATATTCAAGTAAATGCACAACTGTTGTGTGGTAATGGGCTGATGTTGCTTTCACAGAGTGCAATACAAAACACTGACCACAGAGGGCGCCATAGACTAATTCACCATTATGTTTTACTTGGGTAGCAATGCCATCTAGAGGACAAGCCACTTACTTTGCATGTCAATGCAACTGTAGAATCAATTGGAAGGCATAAGGTTAAAAAAAAAAAAAACGCTATATTGGCATAAGATTAAATATTATTCAACCAACACATAATAATACAAATATTTTCCTCATGCTTTACTCCTTCCAGTCTAGTATATTGTTGTATTTTCAGCGTAACACTTCACACAGCTCGCTTTCAAGCTCCAAAATGGACAAAAAGGAACATTTTTAAAAACCAATATGATGCCACATGCGAAACTCACAACATTTGATCACAAAACACATGAGCCAACTGATGATGTCATTGACAGATGTAAAGCGAAGGCGCCATATGTGATTTGAAAGCTACAGTGTTGGGCAAGGTTTCCAATGAATTACAATTTTGTTCTGTTGGTCACAAAGTCTGACAGAAAGTCAGGAAAAAATAAAGCACACAAGTCACATGGTCTGTTACTATGATACTTATTTCCCCCTTTTTGGAGTTCGACCACTTCTGATCACTATGTGGGTATACTGTATAGTAAGAGCAAAGCAAACATAATTTTTTTAACTTTTATAAACTTAATTTTATTTACTTATTTCTCAGAAAACTGAAAAACAACACACAGGTTTGGAACAATGTGAGGGTAGTAAATAATGACACATTTAAAAAAAAAAAAACTTGAACTGAGATCAAATTCACATTGCCGGCTCTATATTTTGCAGAATGTTAGCTGTATCCTTCATCCTGTAATGGGAAAGGAACAAACAATCTATTGATGTGCAGCCTTTGTCTAAGTGACAATTTTTCAAGCGAAATATTAAACTTTTTATTACATTTAGAAAAATAACAACACTTACATATAAACTATTCTGTCCAGCCTTTCTTTAAAATTCTAAGAAATTGGAAGAAAAATATACAATAGTTATTGGATGGATGGATGGATGGATGGATGGATGGATGGGTTAGTGGATGGATGGATGGATGGATGGGTGAGTGGATGGATGGATGGATGGATGGGTAGGTGAGTAGATGGATGGATAAATGGATGGATGGATGGATGGATGGATGGGTAGGTGAGTAGATGGATGGATAAATGGATGGATGGGTGGTCACCTGGTTAGCTGTTGGAGGAGTACTGGCTAGAAGATGCCCATTATCACTGATTTCAGATGGTGGTTGAATCACAGTAGAAAAGCCACTTGCAGATACTTTAACTGATACAAATAGAAAAAAAATAATAATATTAAAAATAAATAAATAAAAGTGCCATTTGAAATTTTCTTCTAGAATGATCATTGTTATCAAGCTTGTATATTTAATATCAGTGATTTCACTTAAATGGCAATGATAATTACCTATTAATTGTTATTTAAGTGAAATTACTGAACTTAAATATACAAGTTTGATAAAAATCATCATTAAAGAAGAACATTTCAAATGGCATTAAGAGGCTTTTGCATCTGAACTCTTCAAATATATTTATTTATTTATTTATTAATATACAGGAATATAGGAATATACACAATCCTAAAGAGATTTGATGAATATTTCATTTATTTAAATTATTCAAATTAAAAAAAGCTAAAACATTGCAAAGTACCTGTATTCTCTTTAAATTCAACCTTGCCTGAGTTGAAGACCCCATCTTGTGAAGTTAGACCCTATAGGAGTAGACAAATCTTTTGTGAGCACCATATAACACATATATTTATATTCATTACTTCTCAAAAGATGCAATGTCAACTTGTCATTTTAAAACAAATCACAAAACAAAATAACACACTCATGAACAGTTATATTAGGATATTAAATTGCAAACAAAATTCAGTTTTTCTGAACAAATCAGTTCCTGTAGACTGGAATCTGACCTCTAGATTGGTTTGCAGTCTTCAAAAAACAAACTATTTTCCTTATACATTTTTCCGACTTAGAAACTGAAACATGAGAGCTTTGCTATAGTGCATGTATATGTGCTGACTGTCACTGCTTTTCATCCCGTAACGCAAGCTTGATCATCAAAGTGAGTTGGGAGGAAAAGGCATTATGCCACAATTGCAAAATTAAATGAAATTTAACTTCCAAAGGATGCTAAACTCCCCTACCTGTGCTGAGGTCAGTGCCAGTCTGGTCTCCAGCAGCAGCACGCGACTCTCCAAGTTCTCCCACTGGTTGCTCTCGATGATAATCTTGCCACCCAAGCTTTTCTCCAGAGCATGTATCCTGTGTTCCATGAGGGCCAATCGCTGCTCTAGTCTACCAACACTCTCCAGAAGACTTAACTCCACACCCCTCAGCCGGCTCTCTAACACACAATCCTAAAGAGACCCCATGTGCATTAGAGTGGATTGAACAAGTTAAAAATTTTGCAGATGATTGTATGTACTGGGAATTGACAATATGAGTAATTGTGTAGTTTAGTTTTAGCCTAGTAATACCAAACTCTGCTACTTCGCTTTGCTTCGTATAGACAGAGTCTGGAGAGGCATCATTGAAAAGTGTTTTCTGTATTGCGAGGGGCGCTTGTCTGAAGTATAAAATCATTGGTTACCCGTAAGCCAATCACACAACGTTTGGTTATGCGCCAGCTCAGTCATATTAATCTAAACCTGTAAACACATAAGTTACATGATGCGAAAACGAAACCATCGAGCAAAATACCAGAGTGCAAATGGCTGTGAACGACTTTTGTAAATTATGAGAAGTAAATCTACGCATCCACAGCACAATCGGGGCCTCTGAACTAGAACCCGACCGATAAAGAATTTTGAAAGCCGATACCGATACAAATATTTTAAAATCCGATATTCCGATATATCGGCCGATATTATTATTTTTTTATTTCAAAAAGGCGCAATAAAATATTAACAGAATTCCCTAACATTAGTTATTTGTAGTTATTTATGAGTAAAATATAATATTATTTTATAACTAAAATAATATGATAATGCATTTTAAAAAGAAACTTGTTTCTATTGTCACAACAGAACAGAGGAACATCAAAATATATTAATTAAGAAAGGGAGGCTTACTGCGCTACTGAAAAATGCCAAAACGATCCGGTGCAACCAGGGCAGGACAAGATCAGACAGAACGGGAGAAACACCGGTGCACAGATCTTCTAAGAGCAAATTTATTAAAGGTGCAACAATTGACTAACGTTTCGATGTACAACTACATCTTCATCAGAGTCCTTGGAGAAAGTGAGTAATGAAGCCCTTAATAAGGATCATCAACAGGTGTGATTATACGTAAAGGGGGCGTGACTCGCCCAGGGCGCACTCATCCAAGCCAAGGTGCCACACTCAGACAATCATTAAAAAATCATCAAAAAAAAAAAAAAAAAAAAAAAAACAACATGTATGAAAAGTAAAAATAAGAAACATGTATGGAATCCACATAGTATCAAGGGAACATCTACAACTCACAAAACCACAAACATTTTTTGTTCACAGAAATTACAAAAAGCATGATAAGTTTAATTCTTCATTTAAACCAAAAGGTTCAAGAGTGTTGAGCGTATGTATCCAGAACGCTTCCCTGCATAGAAGTTTATTAATAATATCACCACCTCTGCATGGGGGTGAAATTTTCTCAATTCCCCAAAACTTCAAAGATGCAGGGGAACCATGATTGGCCTGCTTATAATGCCTTGCCATGGCATAAGTTAAGTTCTGAGTGCGAATTGCTGTTTTGTGCTCAGCTATTCTTAGTTTCAATTGACGTTTTGTTTGACCAATGTACACCAGTCCGCAGGGACACTTTAGCATGTATATTACGTGAGTGCTGTTACAATTAATAAATGAAGAAATAAAATATTTCTTACCAGTACGTGGATGTGAAAAATCTTTGGTGTTGGTCGAATTGGAGCATTGCGCACAGTTGCCACATTTGTAAAAGCCTAAAGGTGGGCTAGAGAGCCAGGTGGTCGGCAGAGGCGAAGTCATATCTGAATGAACCAATCGGTCACGAATATTACGAGCGCGTCTGAACACAAATCTGGGTGGCTCAGCACAGATGTCTTTAAGTGCAGGGTCACTGTTAAGGACATGCCAATGTTTTCGAATGATATTTTTTATTCTTCCTGCTACTGGAGTATAGCTAGTGGAAAAAATTATTTTGGATGTAGTGTGAAGCTTAGATTTTTTCTTTAACAATGAGGCGCGATCTGTATTTAGAGCCCTACTCCATGCTTTACTAATGTCAGATTTGTCATAACCACGTTGTTCAAAACGACGCGCTAGATCCGATGCTTTAGACAAAAATTCGCTTGTAGTGCTACAGTTTCTTCGGACTCTTAAAAATTGGCCCACTGGTATATTACGAACCAGATGAGGCGGATGATTACTGTCTGCTCTTAACAGGGTGTTCCTGCTGAGAGGCTTGCGGTAAATAGTGGATTGAAGAATATTATTTTCATCCTTAAAGATGGTAAGGTCTAAGAAATCAATAGACAGCTTGTTAGATTCCATAGTGAACGACAGATAGTCTGCGGTAGAGTTAACATAAGTCAAAAATTGAGACAATTCACTCGCTGTACCTTTCCATATTAAAAAAAACATCATCTATGTATCTACGCCAAAGTGCTAATTTTGAATGGAACGGGTTGTTTTCGATGTTCTGTATGTATTTTTCTTCCCATAGACCCATCACCAGACAAGCATATGAAGGAGCAAACGAAGATCCCATAGCAGTCCCTTGGAGTTGTAAATAAAATGTATCCTTATATTTGAAAAAATTGTTGGATAAGATAATCTCGATCAAGTTTAAAAGAAATTCTGATGGAGGTAAAACATCATTGGGACGTCTAGTTAAATAATGTGAAATGGCTTGTAAGCCTATGTGATGAGATATAAAAGTATATAGGCTTTGCACATCTAACGATACAAGGACATCATCACTTTATACTTCATCATCACGGCAAAGTCCTTTTAGGCAAGTCATGCCACTCGGCCGCCATCTTGGCAACGTCTCCAGGCAGATATTTCCGACAAACAAGACCAGGCTCCTATTTAAATAAATGGGCAGAAAGTGAGAACTGCACTTTCACTGGCAGGGCTCCAGACTGCGACCAAATAGTCGCATTTTGCGACCAAAATTTGAGAGTGTGCGACTGAATTTTACATCCAGTCGCACATGTGCGACCGGTAAATTTGCCACACGTTAAACGCATGGTAAGCGTGGAAGGGACGCGTCAATGAATCCGTGACAAGAATAGCGCGATTAAACGTCTGTGACGGAGACAAATATCACAACCTGCAATGTGCGTCTGAGCAATAAGCGATCTATTGACACGTTACCTAGCAGCGAATACAAACAAAATGAAAGTGGAACTAAAATACGCAACTCACGGACGGACCGTTAGCGTTTTGATTAGTTTGGACATAATAGACAGAGCAGCGCATAGTGGAGCCCCCCCGAACCACTGACAGTAATAAAGCCCCGAACTTGCCAGTCGCGGGCGATCTCGATCACGCGACACTGTTACTAGCAGATCCAGTGAATAAATCCATTGAATTCACCTCGGAATTAATAACATCATCGCTACAAGATCCAGTGAGAAACATTCCGATTCGGCGCAGAGTTCTGTTATAAACCACAGATATCAGATCAAACACGTGGAAACCAGGAGAAAGACTTACAGAAGGCTTTCAGTTCACAAAACAGCAACATTCACCATGAATTTAGGCTAATGTAGTAAGTTAACTCTAACCATAAATATGATGTCAAACGCTTACAACGTAGCCTACACATCTTTGTCCTGCTCTTCAAAACGATAATATCATATATAAATGTTTTATTTTTTGTATTTTTTTTTGTGACGATCAACACATTTTTTGTTCATTCTTCAAAGATTGTCCTAAAACAAAAAATTTTAAGATGTTGGAAAACTCTTATTTAAAGATTAAAATTATTATTATTATTATTATTATTTAAAAAAAAAAAAAAAAAATATATATTTTTACTCCAAGTCCTTATATACATACATGTTTTCTCTCCTTTTGTTTTTAATTAATATTAAGACATTATAAGTGATAATAACTAAATTAATCGAAGTGATTTATTGTCAGCCCAGTGCTACCAGTTTTTTTTTTGACTCGAGTTCTGATTTGAGGTGGTGCTGCCTTCAAATTTGAGTCTGGAGCCCTGTGAACTTAAAATAAAACAGCATATCATAATGTTAAGTCTATTTATTATTAAATAATTTGTCAGTATTACAGTTATGTTGAGGTAAATTTGAATAATTGCATTGCGAGCTTATTTAAGGTGTGCCCCTAAATTGTCTGCTTGCGCTCCTAAAATTTTCAGTCAGGGGCAACAGCGCTCCTAGTAAAAAAAGTTAGTCTGGAGCCCTGACTGGTCACCGGGACATAAAAACAAAATATGTTGAAGTACAACTCACTAAAGTTGATAATTCTGTGAATGACTGCAATTGCAGATTTCGAACAGAGATGGCGAGGAAAACTGCGAACTGCAGCTTTAAAATGATAAAAAAAAAAATGATCAAAAATTCCTGAAAAAATGTATAAAGGTTTCAACAAAAACATTAAAGTACCACTATGTAGTTTTTCAACCTTCATAATATATTTCCAAGACCCTTGTGATGGTACATCGAGTTACAATAGGTTAAATGACACGTCTGTCATATCCTGACGTGGTCTGTATCGCTTTTACTTGCACTATGTAACTTCGGGTTTCGGGTAGTAACCGGAGCACAAAAAGAACCACAAAATTCAACTGCTTTACGCCATACGTCACTTCACCCACCACTTTCTTCAAATTGATTCCAAAGCCGGTGCTGGATAAACAGCGAGCATGTGTGTGCGACAGTAGGCTGCGGTAGACTAAATTATTTACGACAGCGGTAAGCGACCGCAGAGGAAAGGTTACTTTATGATGCTTTAAACATTAACTGTTTTCAACATTTATGATAATGTTCTTGAGCACCATGTCAGAATATTAGAATGATTTTTGAAGGATCATGTGACATTGAAAACTGACTAGTTGGTGCATTATGTGCTCTCAACTAGATGATTACTCATGCACCTCCTTGTGTGTACATGTGTTGCAGGATGCGCACTCACAGTGGAATCTTTAGGTTGAGTTGAATCCTCAAGAGCCTCACTGTCTAACTCTGTCTTTTCTGTTTCCTCTTCATCTGAGCAGCGTCTGATCTGAGCTGGTGCTGAGCTGCTGCCAAGATGCCTTTCTACCAGTGGCTGCTTCTGAGGTAACTAAGAGGGAAAGAAGCAGAAACATGTATGATGTAACAATAATTATTATTTACTGTATTTACAATAATAGTTTATTTTACTGTCAATTATGTTTTTACTTACTGTCAGGGCTGTTAACACCAGTGAATTACTCTCAGGAGAAGGGATCTCATTTTTAATGCAGCTCTTCAACTGAGGCCTTCTCTTTGGCTTACTGTCATGCTGTAAAACAATTAGCAGTTTATTCAATTAAAATATAAAAATATACATAATAAACATAAATAAATAAAATATGGCCAATAACCAAGTCTGATATAAAAATTATATAATATTTTCTCAAAATAGATTAAAACTAAAATCACTTTAAATGCTACAAGTGATTTAGTGATTTGCTAAATATTACATTTAACAGTGTTATTTAATGTTTATTTAATATAAGTGTTTTTTAAAGATTAACTTTTAAGTGACAGATGACAGCAAATGTAAAAATGTAAAAGTAAAAATAGGGGAAATGAGAATGCAAAATGAATTATCAAATTTAAAGGGTTAGTTTACCCAAGTTGTTCCGAACCAGTAAGACTTTTGTTCATGTTCAGAACACAAATTAAAACATTTTTTTTTTTTTTTTTATGAAATCCAGTTTAGTCCAAATTTTCTGAAGAGACAATCACTTTACATGATTTTAGGCTTTAATTCACATATAAACATTCATCAACTCGCACATCGGTTGTGGTAAACGGAAGCTCTAACATGCTTGCTTGACCTGCAAGAACCAATGAGGTTAATTCTGGCGTGTTATGCAGCACATTTGAGCTTCAGCAAGAACCAATGAGGCTAATGTTTTAATCAGTAATGGTTGAACTTCTGTTTGGTCGCTCAAGTGAATAAAAGCATAAATTCAATCTGTTAATAAAACGATCGAGTCTTTTCAGAATATTTTGACTAAAACACTCAATTCATATGAATTAGTTTTTAACTTTTGAAGTGTCAAAGTGGTAGTTGCGTAGACTGTCAAAAGCGGGATTATAGTCTTTCTATATTCATGTTATTCAAAATGTCTCATTTGTGTTCCAAAGATGAACAAAAGTCTTACGGTTTGGAAAGACATAAGGAAGAATAAATAATGGCAATGTAATATTTAGGTACATTTTTAATTTTTAACTATATTAGAAAAAAATATATATATTTTTTAGATACCTTGCTTTCTTTTGTCAGTTCTTTGTGCTTGTTGAGAATAAGGCCAATGATATCACAGAGAATGGTGACTTTCCTCTCAGCAAAGCCAAACTGAAGAAACTGCTGTTTGGTCAACAACGGCTTATAGCTGAAAACATCCCTCAAGACCTACATTTTAAGAGATTTTCCCATGAAAATGCAGATACAACAAAAAGAGTGCTAAAATAAATATTACAACTTCAGGGGTTTAACATATTAAAGGACTTGGAAGGAAATCATCCCCTCGGTGGATTAAAATCACAAACAAAAAACATGATTTGTAGAATTTCTGGTACAGGAGGAACTCCAGAGGAGCCACTAAGACTAATCACAGGTGGACTAAGCCAGATGTAAACAATGAGCTGTAGCGCAAAGGGAAAAAATATGACTGGAAAAATATGATAGAACTGCTTAACATACTTTCCTGTTACAACAATATTTTAGCAAATGCCATCAAGGTCCTCAAGGTAATATACTGGGACCACTAATTCCCCCCAGAATATTTCACGTGAGCTGCAGATGATCCTGGGATGAAGGCCAGAACTTTTAGAACTGCACAAAAGGTCAATGAAGAGGAGGAAGTGTCAAAAGACAGAACAGCTCTTCAGTCCAACGGTTGAACGTACAGAATCAGCTTTAAGTTAATCTGAGATCAGATGACTTGGACCAGCATGAAGGCAAGCTTACTTTTTTGTTCTCTCACAGCAGGAGAAAATTTAATTACTCAAGACTTGGTGGAGAAGAGATGCCAGAACATCTGAATGCTGGAGAATGGGGTTACAGATGCTCCAAATCACAGAGCTCTGGACGAGACCTGCATTTATGATTTGGGGGTTAAAACCCTCTGAGATCAGGGACAGTGCCAGTAAATATGGCTATTAGGCAACATAAAGCATAGCTTTGTAAGTTTAGTTCAATTGTGAAATTGCTTTTCTTGAAAAAAAAATCCACCTCGGCGACTCGGTTCGGTCTCATAGCTCTAAACTCTCTATTTTTTTTATTTTTTTTTACCTCAAAAATTAACTTTCTGTCCTCACAACTGAAACAAAGCAACTCCAAGCACTTGGATCCAATTAAAACAACCACCTACTCAAAACCACTAGCACTTGAATGAAACGACAAACAGTTTATAAAAGTAAAATTAAAAGGGGCTGCAATATCGCATGCTAATGAAGATCTATTGTTGATTTCAAATGAAAATTATCCACTAGCTAAACCATGATAGCTGTATTAAATAGCATTTTAACTGAACTGTGACTCAATTTGTTAAACACAAGAGTTTAAAGGGATAGTTCACCCAAAAATAAAAATATTTACTCACCCTCATGTTGTCAAACCTATAGTTTTTTCTGTTTATGCAAAATAAGATATTTTGAAGAATGTTGGTAACCAGTTTTGGTGACCACTAATTTTCACAGAAATGACAAAAAGAAATAAAGTCTCTCAAAATATCTTTCTTTTATGTTCCACAGAAAAAGAAATGAAAAGTTAGCAAATGACAGAATTGTATTTGATGAACTATCCCTTTAAAATATAGGCTCTTCTTCCAAGCTAAAATAATATTTGATAAGCTACATTCAAGCAATTCACCTTGTAAACGTTCTCAATAAATCGTAAATCATTCATTCCGGTTAATTCCACACCATAATCGACCAGGTGCTCTGCGATTGAGGGGGAAAAGGACGTGAAGGTAAAGCTCACAATAGGAAGACAAGCTGATGGATCTCCCACAGCCAATCTGGAGGAGTAAAACACAACATCATCAAATTATAAAGCACTTCTACTTACAAACAACATAAAAGTGTTACAAAATCAACAACATATATAGGATTTAAATCAAATCAAGTTTTATAACATGTCTGCAAGCCATTTTGAGTATCGTGCATGAGACAAATTAAGTCATTTTTCTGGATCACCTCCAGAATGTACAAGCCAAACGGATCTGTCTTTCAGAGAAGAATGTTGTGTTTGATGCATCTCACATCAAAACCTCTTCACTGAGCATCTGATGTGCAGCTTGAGATCCTGGTGAAGGAACAGAGCTGGTTTTTGTAAAGCATGTTTACAAAATAGCTCAGCATTGGAGAGGCTCGGGACAAGTCTTCAACTTCCCAAACTTCAAAACAAAATATGGGACATGAAACACTGGCAGACCCCCCTTTTGGATGTTTACGTGAGTCATGATGTTTAAAGTCTAGGCCAAAAAAGTGGGGGTAGAATTAGGGGACGTTAATGTCTAATGAATTACATCCCCGCATATCATCTCTGCTGACTGCCTGTGAAAAATGAATTCACAAAAGCTATGCATTCATAAAGGCTGGAAAGTGAATGAGATTGGTATCAAATGTCAGTGTGGTCAGATTTTATTATAGGAGGTCCCTTTATTTACTTAATTTAGGTTCAGGGGAATATATCTAAAAACCTACTTTTAGCATCAAAGGTGTTTAATCTGTGTTTTTGAACAAATCTCTTGAATGAATGATTCAATGACAAATACGCCCACTTCGGTGATAATTTGAAAATTTGAAATAACAAAAAGGTTAAAAAGACTGTTTGTGAAGTTGTTTCATAAGTTAACTGCTCTACCCGGGTCAGCGCCAGCGCAAACATTAGATTTGAATGTTCCGGTGTGATTTTGTCAAAGATTTAAAAGTCACAAGCAAATCATTGCCATTTAGGAATGAGATTGTTTGGGTGTTTGAATCGAGATTGGGGACACCCCTCGCTGCAGCCTGTAGCATGATGACATAGCTGGATGGTCCAATACCTGGTGGACGCTGTAACGCGCGTGCGCACTAGTCAAGTCAAGTCAAGTCATCTTCATTTATATATCGCTTTTAACAATTTAGATTGTTTCAAAGCAGATTTACATAGATACGCATATAATTTAATGTAACAGAGATTGTTTTGGCTTTAAGCGGTTCGTGAATAATGTTATTCATATCTGTCGAAATTATCATTTTTTTTATTAAATTAGGGGACGACAACGTTCTCTCTAAACAAGCCTCAATCGCATGTTATAAAGACAGAATTGTCCCTGTAAAGTCAAAATTAAGTATGTGTTCTGAGTTTGTCACACCACAGGAAAATGTGTTATTAGCCACCCAGTCAAATTTGAATGATAAAAAAGTCAGCAAGTACATAAAATAAGCTATTAAAATCTTGAAAAAATTAGCAGTTATCTCTGTTCTCAAACGCTGGGGGCGTGTCCGCTGGCTGCGAGGAAACCACGCCCACTCACGGGAAAGCTAGTGTCGACGGTGATATTAGCTGATGCTGCTTTCGGGACGGGAGAATGAACGCTGAGCCGGTTAAACAGCGGATTATCAGTGAATTCCAGTTGTCTCTGAGGAAAGTTTATAAAACGATCCCGTGTAAAATGATCACTACAGAGGCAGGTGTTGGTGGTGATCCTTAGCTCTTCATCAAGGTTGGCTCTCTAAAAACCTCTTCTTGATGTGATCGTTTTTAGGGAATTTAAATAAAGATACCGATCTGTTTTGTACATGATCACATTCAGCCTATGCTGAATAGTAGCCTATGTATTTCTGTATTGAAGGCATAGCTAGCTAGAAAACTGTAGGCTCAGCTGTAGTAACTAATAGTAGTGACAGTCACTCGCGATTGAGCGGTGAATGCGCATGTGCTCGGGGAGTGTTATTGTGTGTTAGGGGAGAGATCAGACTCTGTGCGTCATCAAATAGGGGTGTGTGCGTCATCGAGCCATATTTCAGCCCCGCCCAAACAAGCCGTAAAATTGCAATGGTGAAAAACTGTTTAACGGTCTAACTGCACATTTCAGTACTTCACAGTTCACAGTCTTTGTAATATGTTTTAGCAATACATATGTAACATTTATAATGTGTTTAGAACTTTTTTGTAGAATTGCCTTTACAGGGACTTTAAATCAGAAATCTGACTTATTTCTTGCAATTCTGAATGTATAACATAATTGCGAGTTTAGATCTCCCATTGTGAGTTATAAAGTGAAATTTCTTAGGGAAAAAAAAATCTGGCTACTTATTGTTTAACCACAGAATAGTTCAATATCTCACAATTCTGACGTAATAACACGCAATTGTGACTTTATATCTCCCAATTTGCGTATTATAAAGTCAGAATTTCAAGTAGCTTCGCAATTGCTAGTTTATATCTCATAATTCTGAGTTGATAACACATATTTGTGACTTTATATCAAAAGTCTGACTTTATAACCTGCAATTGCGACTTTATATAAATTCTGAGACTTTTATTTAGGGTTGTTTTTTTTCTACATCCGACAAGATTTATTTTCATGATGTTGTTATCATTTTAGCATTTTCCTTTGAATGGTTACTGGCATTTTAAGATGTTTACAGTTGTACCTTTAAAATTACAGAGACAATTAGACTACTTTTACATTTTTCGCTTCCAATCAACAGCAAATATGAATAAAGTAAAATTGCTTTATTTTGAAATGTTCTATATACACATTAAAAAAAATACTTGTGGTGCACATGCTATTAATCTATAAAATGTAGGTTTAAAATCATGTGAGATTCATGACATGAACTATTCCTGTAGCTCAAACTGCAAAGTATGGTGTATATCATGGGTTTGATTCCCAGAGAATGCTTGATCTGATAAAAATGTCTTCCTTTAATACAATGTAAGTGCTTTGGATAAAAGTGTCTGCCAAATGCATAAATGTAAATGCAACACACAAAAATAGCAATATCTACAAGGGTAGCATGTACAAAATCAAAATAATCTTAAAGTCGACATAAAACAGAAGTTGCTACAGTCTTTCCTTCCCTATTGTGACGTATGAAGCAGCTTCAAGTAAAAAAATGTTGGGCGGGACTTGATTTTGTCCATTGGGAATTGATTGGATGGTTGTGCTTTGCTTTGCTATTGCTGTGTTTTCATGTGAATGACAGGTGTCAGTCCCACCCTCGTGCAAGAGAAGAGAAGAGAAGAGAAGAGAAGAGAAGAGAAGAGAAGAGAAGAGAAGAGAAGAGAAGAGAAGAGAAGAGAAGAGAAGAGAAGAAGAGTTATTTTGATTAAGGATTAGGAGGGCAGATAAATAAAATATTAATTATAATAATGGTGTGCACAGATCATTAATAATAAATACTGCAATATTCCACAAAATAAATATTACTTAATACATTTTGATTTCAAGGAGACTTTAAAGATACGATTTAGAGTATAAACACTAATCTTATTTTATAAAGTGCTTACATGCATGCAGTACAAGAATGGAGATTTATAAAATGCACACTCTGCCATAGTACATTTAGATAGTACTTTTATTTACACAGGCATGATCAGCGTCATGTAAATTAATTAGGATATTATAATTTATAAATGATATTGTAGAATGGTCACCTGAACACCTGTATTTCCATGTGCAGAATAATTAGGTAACTGAATAATTAGGTAACCCACTGCGCAATGTGATGTCAGAGTGACGTCTTTTCTATGTAATTTTTGGACGTCCAATTTCGGTCCACTGAAGGGGTTGTTTTGTAATGTTGATGTCGGTGGGACCAAATGTGGTTGTGTGTGGACATCTTTTCAACATCAAATTGAGTATCTTCTATAACTGCAGTCCTATGTTTTAAAAGGGTAGAGGACGTTTTTAAAGGATGTTTTCTGTACCATATATTTAAATTTATGCATTTGGCAGACACTTTTATCCATAGTGACTTACACTGCATTACACATTTACATTCGTATTCCATGGCTTTCACTGGGAATCGAACCCATGATCTTGGTGTTGCACTAGGTGGCCGTCACACAAGTGCCAACGCTCTACTGTTTGGAAAATTATCTTAAATGATTATGAATAATCTGTATTCATTTGTATTAATCATGTTTATAACAACAATGCTGATATTTGTAAATAAAACAAATATTAATCATGTAAATTTCCTGCACCTGTAATTGACGTCCAAATGAGATAAAAAAAAAAAAAAATGACCCAGTTCAATGGTCAAATGTTGAACATCAACATGACGCCCAAGTTGGGTCATGGTTGGATGTCCAAATAGTGGACCTAGTTTGGACGTTGAATAGATGTCCAGAATTGGTCATGGACCAACGGACCAAATATATAGACATGATCTGCATGTCCGACGTCCAGTGTTTAGTGGGAACTTCAATTCATGATTTTTTTTTATTTTATTTTTTTTATAAACAATAATATATATATATATATATATATATATATGAGTTTGTGTGTGTGTGTGTGTGTGTGTGTGTGTGCGTGTGTGTGTGTGTGTGTGATGAACTAGGCCTATTGGTCCTTAAAATTCGTCATACCTTTGATAGTCCACTTCTCTCGGATACTTTACAGAACGGAGAGAGGCTTCCAGCTTTCTCAGACATCCTTTTAAATCACCAGTGCCCATCTCTGTAATGTCAGAGGATTTCAGTTAGGAGTATAGCTATATCCGTACATAACGTTACCATTCGTAGACATAACGCTACAAAATGACCGTGGCGTGTTATTTCAACAAGTACATGTTTTGCATTAGTTGATTAAATGTCGCACTTATTTGCGTTTGTAATACAGTAACAACTGTCTTACCAATGGTTATATTTTATAGATAAAAAGTTATTGCTAATTCCTCCCTTTTGTTTTTACCGCTGAAATATCCGGGTTCGTTGTTATTGGTTTCTATCAGGTTTCTACGCACCAGACGACGGGTCAAACCTTTGTTTCACTTCTACACATTCTTGTCTTAGCTTGCTTCTTTGGGGTTTTAGAAGTACATACAAATTTGTTGATTTAATTTCATGTAATTATTAATTTACTCATGTATTTTAATTCATTCACGCATATATTAATGTATTTTTTGTATCAACTTCACTCCTTTATTCGTTTTATGTATGTATTTTATTACTGTACGAACATGACTTTTCGATCGAAAGTGCAACTGTCTGTACCTGTGTCTGATTTACTCTGAGCGATATGCGTCACTTCCACCAATAACAAGAGAAACGTCAGTCTGGCCAGAGTGTTCGAGGAGGCGGAGAGATAGACAGGAGGAGCAAGTGGACTCATGAATGATAGTGTCACAGGACTGTCTCACCTCGATCAGCAGCGTTGGAGCTGTCAAGATGGCTGTCCTGGGCTCTTGTTAAAAGATTGAGATGATTTCATCCGTGAGACACTGGCAGGTCACTAGCAACTCATTTCGTCGCGGCGGCGGTAACGTTAGAAGTATTTCATATACACAGAGGTGGGTGGTGCTGCTTAGATTGACGCTGCGAAAATAAAAACACAAGCGTTTTTCCGCAACAGCCAATCAGAGTTCGAGTGTATGTGTCATATTGTTATTTCAACCAATTGTTTTAGAGCGAGGCGGGCCTTTGTGCTTCAGCCAAACATGATAGAGGACCCATTGCTTAAAAAATACAAACTGTAGAAAACCTCGATTTGTATGTCAGTCATCACACTAAATGATATCTATTTTTTATCATTTACATTCTCAGATATTGTGCTAATATATATATATACTTTTTTTTTTCTTCTTTAATGTGTCAGATGAATTTTCTTTTGTTCCGTCAGAAATCTGAAAGGCTACTGATACTATGCTAATAAACTTTATTTGCATAGTATCAGTAGCCTTTCAGATTTCTTCCGGAACAAAGGAGGACTCATCTGACTATTTACAGTAACTATTTTCAGTAAACTGAGACAATACAAGCTAGAAAAAACAGCTATACAATAATACCACAAAAGTACCATTATATACAAAATATACATTTTTTTATTAAAAGCAGAAACATTAGGTCAGGGTTAAACTACGATTTAAGTACTTTTCAACTGACCTAAAATTTATTTTTAGATCCTGCAAATGGTACTTTTGTGGTATTCTTGTATAGCTGTTCTTTCCAGCTTGTATTGTCTCAGTTTACTGTAAATAGTTTTTTTTGTTTTTGTTTTTTTTGTCAAGAGTAACACAATTAGAACATGCATGGAGTTGCCAGACCTGTTTACTTTCACTTTTAATAGAAAGACAAGAGTTAGATGAGCTAATCCACTGTTTAAAAAAAAAAAAAAAAGTTTATTATATAACTTTAATGAGGGCAAATGTTTTGTAATGATTTAAGAACAGCTTCTGCCCTTAGGCAAAGCAGAGGGAAATTACTTTTAAGAGTTCATTGACCTTGTTCAGATTTCCGTTCCATGTTTTAAGCAGGTCTAAGAATTCCCAAGCTCCTCCTACAGAATGCCAAGGAGCATTGCGTCAGTCCCGAATAAGGAATATGTCAAGATCATATGAAAAAAGCTGTTGCAGAGACAAAGAAAGCGACCCGAGAGCATTCAAGAGGCCATTAAAGACAAGAATAACAAGGCTTCTCATAGACTGAGATATGTTTTAGAGAGAAAGGCCCTTGGAGGGAGTCAGACAGGGCCACATAAAAAGGCTTAATGCATATCTCAGAGAGAGGATTAGTGCTACTGCAGTGGAGATAAAGCTGCCATCAGAGGTTTTATTTCCCAGAGGACTACTGCACACTAGCACTAAAAACAGTTTCCTTTGGGCTGTTTTGCTCTGTCGGATAATGCAAAGATTCGGGGACCTAACAGCAATGATCTAAATCAAAAAATAATGTGCTGAGAGTTTGAGGCCTGTGGATTGGTTTAGTTTGGAGGAACAGAAGGCAGAGGCTTAATACACAATGCTTTCCTTTAATAATAAGTAAATACAAAACAAGATTATATGATTTACAAAAACTTATTTTCACTACTGATCAAACGTTTGAAATAATCAAGGTTTTTTTTTTTTTTTTTTATAAATTAGTCTCTTATGCTAACTAGGGCTGAATTTATGTAATGTAAAAAATTTCCAAATTTTATTTGGAAATAGGCTAATTTTCCCACTCCCCAGAGTTAAACAGTTGAGTTTTACCATTTTCGAATGTATTCAGCCGATTTTCTGATATTTAGAAGAATATCAGTAACCAGACATTTCCTGGTCTCATTGACTTCCATAGTATATTTTTTTCCTACTATGGAAGTCAATGAGACCAGAAACTGTCTGGTTACTATTATTCTTCTAAATATCAAACAAATCGGCTGAATGGATTAGAAAACGGTCAAACTCAACTGTTTAACTCTGGGGGAGTTGTAAAATTAGCCTATTTCCAAAAAAAAGTGGAGTATCCCTTTAAAATAACTGTTTTCTATTTAAACATATTTTAAAATGTACTTTATTCTTGTGCTGGCAAAGCTGAATTTAAAATTGTAGTGTATCGTGGTTACCACAAAAATATAAAAAAGCACGATAATAATAAGTGATTCTTGTGCACCATTTTAGAATATTAGAATTTTTCTCAAGGATCACATGACTGAAGACTAGTAATTTCCATGTAGTATAAAGTTGGTGTCGTGGATTTTCTTTTCTTTTTTCTCAAGCTACACAAACTTGTATGCAAGTTTTTTAATGCATGAAGCTGCAATGAAATGCATTTTTAAATATGTTTTCAGATCTGCAGATGGGTCAGGTTCTGTGGAGGGTGGTGAGGAACCAGCAGCTGCAGCAGCAGTACAATGAGCAGTGCTTCCTCCAGCAGGAGAGAGAGCAGGGCCGAAGGATGGGTCCCCCACTGTCTGAACCGCTGCAGCAGCGCCGTTCGCCACAGTGCCAGGTCCCCGGCTCCGACATCAGTCACCTGCTGCGCGTCCGCAGGGGCAAAGAGGAGCAGGGCTTCATCGATCTTGAGATGCTGCCGCCTGAACTCAGCATCACCATCCTCTCCTACCTGAATGCTACCGACCTGTGCCTGGCCTCTTGTGTGTGGCAGGACTTGGGCAATGATGAGTACCTGTGGCAGGGGTCAGTGATGCGTTTATCTTCCATAAAAAATATCATCTCATCAGTATTTTCTCAGGGAGAACTGTATAAGGGAGGATAGGGTTTCTTTCAATGGATTTGATGCAAACTTAGCTATTATGAAATAAATAAAAATAGGGATATTACCTATTTTATGTTTTTGCATTCCTTTGTTTTTCTTTGTCTGCCCCCTAGCCTCTGCAAGTCCACTTGGGGTCACTGTTCCATATACAATCGAAGGCTTCCATTTGGATTTTCCTATAGAAAGCTCTATATGGACTTAGATGAAGGAAGTTTAACCTTCAACGCCAACCCGCAAGAGGTACAAAAAATACAAACTTTTGTTCTGTCTCGCCACAATAATATCTCTGTAATTATATGGCGAAGCCATTTAATGTTTAAACGGGCAAAGAACAGAGAAATGATCATAGCCACAGTGTGCTTTGGAAACACAATTCTGACCAACCTCAGCTATGATTAATATGATGGTTTTCTCCTCCACCCTGTAAATTCCCACATAACCCGGCAATGCTCATACAGCAGACCAAATATATTATTTTTACAAGTTCACCTAGAATGAATAATGGTCCATGACATAGGCTTTTAGACCACAACCCGGATTAAAACGAAATGAATGGCTTTTCTCTCATGCAAGCTGCTCTTAAAACATAATTTCTGTTCAAAGATGCATTTGAATGTCTTGACTCCCCCTCGCTCGTGTGTCTTAGGTTAGATTAGCAAAGCTTTAGCTGTCCACTTAAAGGACATGCGATAGCCTTGCTCCGGACTAAACGCGGTGTCTGGCAAAAAAACGCGCCCCCACCTTCAGTTTTTCCCCTAATCCCCACACCCTGTTTTTTGTGGGTTCTTTCATTTAGGGTATCAGTTACTTCATGTTCAGAGGTATTCTTTTGGACCACCCGAAGGAAATTGCCAAGTTTATATTCTATACCAGAATGCTCAACTGGAAGATGTTGCGGAATTATCTTGATGAACGGTTTGTTTCCTAATCTTTTTATTCCCTTTTATTTTTATATCATTATACCAAGCACTATATATATATATATATATATATATATATGTGTGTGTGTGTATACATATATATATATATATATATATATATATATACACACACATATGTGTATATACATACATACATACATACATATATATAGAAGCTCTATATGGAATTAGATGAAGGAATATATATATATATATATATATATATATATATATATATATATATATATATATATATATATATATATATATATATATATTCTGCTACTGATTAAGTTTCCTGTGATTGCAGGCGAGATGTCCTGGATGAGTTGGTCACACTTCATAATTTTAGTAACCAGTTCCTTCCTAATGCACTGAGGGACTTCTTCAGACACATTCATGCCCCGGAGGAGCGGGGAGAGTACCTGGAGACCCTCATCACTAAGTTTTCTCACCGCTTCTGTGCCTGCAACCCCACTTTGGTCCGGGAAGTGGGCTTAAGTCCCGGTAAGTGAACTACAGCACAGTCATTACAGATGCCAGAACCACACTTATACTACGATGTGATCTAGTGTGACATTAAGATCACGGTGGTCACGAGTGACGTTCAGAGATTTTTGCCATTGGCAACAATTAAAGTACTGGTTCTAATTTCGGTACATGCAAATCACAACTTGCAGGATTATTGTCATGTATTGATTCAAATCGACCGTCTTTTATTAACTGCAGATCTGCATGATCTTGTCTTTGTATAGAGCAACATGTGAGAAATCCTTGTACTAACACTGCCGTTTGCTTCTAAAGCCGAGCTAAGCCCGCTGGCTTAAAGTGTTATCAGAAGAGGGCCCTGTGTTGAGTCCAACCAATCAGAGTTATCGCCTGCAATAACATGTGACCTGTAGTGCATGTATATACAGTAGCATGTACAAGCAGGAAGATTTATTAAAAATTACTGACCGAGTTCAAGCCGAGTTGTGCTCTTCTCATATTGTTTACAGTTCATTATACATGTGTAAATAAATGGGCAGTCAAAGGTTTGGACTAATTAGTTAATTAATTAGAATAATTAATAGAAAATATTTGATTAAAAAATATTCTCACAAAAATAACTGCTCTGTTTTTACTTAATAAAGTGAAGTTTCAGCTATATACAGTATTAAATGCAGTGTAAAATTGAATTGTGTTTTAAGAAATATTATTGTTTTAGTGAACTCGAATAAAATAAGTTCAGAGTACTCATTACTATTGTTTTTATAAACTTAAATGAATTGAGGCAATCGGTTTCCTTAAATGAAATGCGTTAGCTAAACTTGTTGGATTTTATTTGCCATTTCTTATTATTAATGATGAAAACAGCTGCAAAATATTTTGTGGAAAGAGTGCACCATTTAAAAATAATTAATATATATATATATATATATATATATATATATATATATATATTACATGTACATTGAAGTGTGTGTACATATATGTATATATATATATATATTAATTTAACCAATTTTACATTATTACATTTTATTTTTTTTAATTTTACATTTTACATTTAATTTTACATTAAATTGATTCAAGTGCCAGTGAAGACATCTATAATGTTACTAAGGATTTCTATTTCAAATAGACGCTGATTTTTTTTTCTATTCATCAAAGAATCTTTGTATCACAAAGACACAAAATGTAAAAGTTTCCACAAAAAATATTACTGAAATATAAAGCAGCAAAATTTTCAATATTGATAATAATATGAACCATTATTAATAATTCAGCACCAATAATAATTGATATTACCTGAGCATCAAATCAGCATAATAGAAGGATTTCTGATGAGTCATGTAACACTAAAGACTAGAGCAATGATCCTGAAAATTCAACTTTGCGATCACAGGACTAAATTGCATTTTTAAATATATTCAAACAAAAACCAGTTATGTTAAAATGTAATATTGTGAAATATAAATACTGTTTCTGCATAATTCAAACATTTCTACATTCTCTCTCTCTCTCCCTCTCTCTCTCTCTAATCTGGTTTTGCAGATGCTGTGTACGTGCTGTGCTACTCCCTCATCCTTCTCTCCATCGATCTGACCAGCCCTCACGTAAAGAACAAGATGTCCAAAAGGGAGTTTATCCGAAACACACGGCGGGCTGCTCAGAACATCAGCGAGGACTTTGTTGGCCACCTCTATGACAACATCTATCTGATCGGCCACGTGGCGGCCTAGGCACTACAGCGTTTGACACGTCAGGGAGAGCTGGCACTATAAGGATTCCACTTGAAGCTGGAAGAATCACTGTCAGAACTCATTTTAAAATGAAGACCTATGAGCTCTAGATATGATGTGCTGCATTACAAACTTGGAGGACGGCCACAATGTGAAGAATCAGCGAAGCAAGTCAGTTGTTAGCAGGCTAGCAATGGTAGCGACACGGTTTACCTACAAGAAACCGCTTAAACATGCAAAAGTAGGTATGTAGCTACATGAAGATGTATGAGATAAGCTATGAAGTCAGTAAAAGCTGAATGTAGTGGGGCTTAATGGGGCTTATCAGCGTCATATTTACAACGACATCTATTTTCTTCCTCATTCTAATTTGAAAACCTCTCATTAGATCAAATGAATGTCAGCTTTTTTTTCATATCTACAAAATTCAGGCAAGTCTAAGACACTCAATCGAGTCACTGTGATATCAAAGGATTGACAGGCGAAAATTGCAGAACTATTGAAAATGAACAAAAGCATTTTATTTTAACTCTGTGTGTGCACTTTTGTGTTTTAGGAGGATTTGTGTTTTTGCATCGTCACATAAGTCTCATCTTCCCTGAGAAGAGTAAAACCCTGTGAGACATTGTATGCACTGAATTTTTATCACATATGTTTTGTAGGTTTGGTACCTTCTTTTGGTCATATTCCTTCAATATTTTTTTAACAACATGTAGACATTATGTTAGACTGTTTCCCAATCCTATACAAATTATATACATGCACATAATTCATATACAAGAAGAAATCAGCTCTATGTATCATCTGAACATCTGAGTACTCAAGAGGAACTTTCCAAAAAAAAAAAAATGAATTGGACATCTTGTCTTTTGGTTAATTCATTTCTTCTTTCTTTTATTCAGATTTGTCTTTTATTTAGATTTTCTACAATTGGGTGCCAATAGAGAGGATTAAATAATAAACAACATATACACAATAATAAGGAATGATACTATTATTCACACGCTCTGCATAGTTTAATTTAATGTTGAACATTTTATTTGCACATAATGTATATATTTAAGTATAGAGATTTATAAACATTAAAATTTATTTTGGAGTATTTTAACTAAGAGTTGTGGTTTTTCCCTCTATTAAAAGAGTTTAATCTGGTTTGCACTTCTTCTTTTTTTCTTTTAATATTTAAAATGTCACAATGCTGCATAATTATGATAATTATTCACTGTTATCCAGTGCTGAATTAACTGTAATTTTAGAGATTACAGCTCATCTTGTTGTTGTTTTTTTTTTTTTTTTTTTTTTTTTTTCATTTCTTCAGCATTCTATTGGTTATCCAGAAAATGCAATTATTTGAACAAATCTGCTTAGTTAAATAGCAGAACGAATTTGTTTAGGGTAGATTTCAGATAACACTGGACTAACGCAATTATAGATTGTAAAAAATAAATAAATAAAAATAAAACTTTGAAAGTCACTGCTTGCATAGTCACGTGTGCATGTGTGTCCACTCCTTAGCGGTTCAAAATGCATTTGTTTAAATAGGACATTTTCTTTTTTTCTGAGTTCTGAAATTGCATTATCTAATTGATTAATGTTTTTTTTTTTTTTTTTTTTTTTTTTTGGGGGGGGGGGGGGGGTTGGAATTTACATAAATTGTGCGATTACCTTTATTAAAGCAAGCTGTTTCAAAGTAATATATGATTATTTCTTCCTGAAAATTTGAAAAAGCAAACATTTGGGTCTGATATAAGGTTAAATGCGATTGTTTCAAATTTGTAATTCTTTTAAAATTATTCTGCATGAGAAAGACATCGCAAAAATGATCGTTTCCCAGTTCATGCGTGCGGGCAAATGTTTGGGGGGAAAAAGAGATTCAATGAGACCACCTTTAAGTGGCCTATACAGATTTCTGTTTGAAATTGAATACCAACTGATCTTACGAGTATTATTATGCAGTCGACTGGGGCTATAGTTATCGCAAACGTTTGCAATTCACTAAATATAAAGTAAAATTGTTGTGAAATGTATATCCTCCAAATTGAACTTTCAATATAGCTTATATTAAGGCACTAACGAACATTTAGGCAAGAAGCAATTATAGGCCTAATGACTCAATATTATGCGCTGTTTTCTAGTTGGGGCGAGTTAAATGTTATACATTTATGCAGATACTTGGAGAACAGCAAATAACAGTATAGGCTTATCTGTGTTTGTTGCCAAAACTTTTAGCTAAATGCGCCCATAAATTATCTTTAAAAATAATACTCTAACAAATTTGTGTGAAAAGTGTGACAACTGGCCTCGGTTTCCCTACTTCTGTAAAATAAACTAGCCTACATATGATTCATTTTATTACTTTGCTCAACCGCTAATATGTCATCAACCAGTTCAGTGGTAAACACAATACAAGTTTTATTCAATCAAATGCTTGTTATTTTTGCAGGTATAACCTATAGCAGCAGGCCCATATATATATTTTTCTGTTTAGTCCATGGATTTATCAAAGGCATGTAGCCTAGTTAAAATGTTGTTTATCTGAGGTGACGTTATGTTTCTCAGGTCTAATGGCAGAGTTTTGGCTATAATTTGGCATGATTGATGAAGTCCATGCCTTCGCTATGACTGCATTTCATCAATACAACTGACTCAACAACAGCGCGAGCCTCTCTGACGCCTGAAATTGCGTCTGGTCTACCTGACACCCCAGAGAAAATGCATTTTGACACTTCTCTGTTCACGGAGATATGGAATAGCCTTGTAAAAAAACAAAAAAAAAAAAAAGAAACAAAAAAAACGACGTAATAAAAATTATATATATATCACGAATGTTGTCTTAATATTATTTTGGATTGGCTATGCTTCTGTGCGAGTGTTTTAACACTGTTACTCCCACGCAAATCGTTCGTCGACATGAATGCCAAGCAGATGCCAAAAGTCATGATGCTCAAAAAAAGAACCACAACTAACCAAAGGTCCCCGCTTTTATAGATGTCTTGAGTAATTGGATTTTTTGGGTTTTAGTTTAACAATAAAGTTTATTGTCTGGGCCTTGGAAAAGGCGAGTTCGACGTACATCTGCTGTCTTTGAAGTCGATAAATTTGACATTTTCTGTGTTGAAGGACAGGGGCCATTGATGCAGATCCAATGGAGACAGGGCCATTAATAAGCGTGTCTGCTTTTTTTCGGTTTTAAGCCCTGGTTTACCATATCGTCTAAATTTGTTTCGAATAAGCTAAATGAATTTGATTTCAAAAGCCAAATGCAGTCTTTATGCTCTCGCACTGCTATGTGAGTTTTAAAATACGTAAAGCTACAAATGGATGTGGAGGTATAGCTGATGACGGCAGGTTGTTTAGGCTGGTCCTAGGTGTCTTCCTTTATAATAAGGGTATAACCCAGACTGGCTTGAGGACGGGACTGCCCCCGTTTCTATAATTGTTTCCTGCAAACCACCCCACCATCACCCGACCACCTCCTTAAACGCAATGGTTTCTGTACTAAATAATCAGGAATTTCTGAGAGAGTGATTATTTGGGTTGATTGGCTTCCTTAGTCATGTCACAATCATGTGTCATTGTTGAGACAATGTGATGAATTACTTTTTCTGTGCTGAAATGCAGTCTGGTTTGCTGGTCTCCCAACATGGCCAGGCTGGTTTAACAAAGGTTTGGGGCACTTGTAAACTCGTCAGAGACCTGAGCATAGACGACTTTTGAACATAAGCCTAGGTTTGGCTAATTTAACCATGTTTGGTTAGGCTGTGAGACCAGTTTAAACTAGATAAAACCAGCATATAGGCTCGCTGTTTTTCGGGGTTTTTTTTACCCAGCGCCTAAAATCCTACAGAGAAGGATTTATTACAGGCCTGCCCATTTTAGCTTATTAAAATGTCTTACCTCGCATTGGTTATGCTCATTTGGATGCAGGAATTTAGGCCAGTGTGCAATCAACTGTGGTGCTGATGATGGACGCGCCTGCAACTGCAGCATTTCCCTTTGCAATGCCATTCAACAGACTCTGCAGACCTTTAAAAAAAAAATAAGTTCAATATCCAGATAAATAAAATATCATTATATAGCCTATTTTGATTAGGCCTAAATAATTTCATATAGCCATGCAGCTACACACAAAAGTATTTGCACAGGCCTATTCAATCCTAAATCTGTGCAGTTTTTAAACTGATCGCTTTTCAAATAGCCTAATGATGAAAATGAGTAAAACATACTATTTGACAAAACAGACCAAAATACAGACTATGCTTGATTCAACTTTTTATAAAGGCACTATCAAAGGGAAGGATTGTTTCTCAGAAGAGTATTAGTAACATGTTCCTTTGATCTTTTTTTTTTTTTTTTTTTTTTTTATGAGCGCACATCAGATCTAAGATAACAATGGAGCTGGATATGAGCTTCCTAAATGAGCTGAGCATGTTGCCTGTCTCAGGTCTGTGATGCACAGATATAATCTTCCGTCATTCACACTATATACAGCCTTCACAGAACGCCACAGGTGTGCCACAGCTGTGAGCTTGTGCTAGAAACCAGTCTAAGACCATCAAATGTTCCTGGACCTGAGAGCTGTTTCTTTACCTGTCTGAGGTGAGCTTTTCATGTGAGACACGTACAGATGGCCTTCACAAGCACGTTGAGTTATTGAAACCCATCTTAAATATTATCGCAGAGGTTTGTTTTATGGATTGTTTATGAACGAGGCTGTATCTGTTTGACAGGGGCTGTCCACTGTCACATCATGCCATACAGGACGCTTGACGTTTGCAGGTGTCTGACACTTGTGGGATTAAGAAAAGAGTCGTTCCAGTACCGCAGAGCCGATGGAAGACATTCATGTAGAGCATGTCATCTTATATAGGCTACAGGTATGCCTATTGCCAACCACTACACCAACTGAACCTCTGCATGTTGTTTTGGCGATTTGCACGGATTTGTCAAGGAATACCGGACAGTCCATTATAAGGAGGTTGAGTGATTCAAAATATGTATGTTCACAAAATGAATTCACATTCTCTCCTATACGGTAAAAAAAAATAAAATAAAAATAAAAAAAAAAAACTACATATATATCATTAGGGTATGACAACATGTTTTTGCATTGCTTTATCTAAATTAGTTAAGTTGCGTTAAGTTCTAAATTGCTTTATCAAAATAAGTTAAGAAATGTTCAACTCTTTTTTAAGTTACAAAAGTCTGCATTTTTTTGTTTTGTTTTTTGAGTCAGTTTAATGTGATTTAAGTAAATGACTCATATGCTATTATCTAGGCTAAATCAGTGTGTTCTCACAAACAATAATGAAGCCATATTACACTTATATACAATTAGGCTTATAAAAGCTTTTCATCAGCATGTTGTAAAATATTAAAATAGAAAAATGAAATGTAACTGCAGAGGAATGACATAGCTATTTAATTAACAGGAGACACTCATACAAACTTAAAAAAACAAGATGTTTATGATTGATGTTACAATTCAATATTGTGGCAGATTATATCTGACATTTAGAGAAATGTAGATTTCTAAATTCCAATAAAAATTCCAATATAAAAAATATACTCTCTAACTTACGCTTTTGACCATACGTCAACATCCGACGTTTTAGGGTAGTTAGTTTTAGATGACGATCCAAGGGCGTCATCTCACTGACGCTTTATCTTTAGCGTCAGTTAAATGACGCGGGTATAGGTGGTTTAGGTCTGGGGTTGATCTCCCTATGGGCAACGAAATAAACTTAAATAGTCAATCTCATGTAAACCAGACAACATAGTTGATTTGCAATGAACTCATTTTTTTGTCGAGCCATATAGCCAACTTCTGAATGAATGAATGAATGAATGAATGAATGAATGAAAGAAAGAAAAAGAAAGAAAGAAAGAAAGAAAGAAAGAAAGAAAGAAAGAAAGAAAGAAAGAAAGAAAGAAAGAAAATACAAACGTAGTTTGGATGCTCTTCAGCATATCTGAATAAATGCTATAAAGGGTTTAATATAGGCTAGATATGTTTGCCATTCCCAGTAACCCACGCCCTAAATCAGCATGACCTCATCGCGTGTGGATTGTTGGGAACTCGTTTGGAGAATGCAGAATTCATCTCCCCTCAATGGCCTGTTAATCAACAACGCCGGTGAACTTGGAAAACCCTGGTGCTTAAATATGCAATATGGCGCGGGAGCCGTAGGGCCAGCGGGGTCAGCCCCTCTCCGCGATGGTAGGTGTCTGGCCCTCCGGCTCTCTGGCTACAATAATATCCAGTGGCTCCAACGCTGAGCCTGGATAATGCATCTGTCCAAGACCCGTAATTACAAGATCATAACATTTCCCCAGCCAGCACCCAACACAGCATTCGGACCCCCTTCATAAGCTGCGCTCATTGCGCCAGTGTCAAACTGTTTGATCTCAGGCAGCACTGCTAGAGAACACACTACATTCGCAAGTGTTTGGATAACCGACACAGCTATTGTTGTACTATTTCATACTATAGGCTAATTGTTTATTGCTCTTGTTAGATATTTGTTTATTTGTTTAGCCTATTTTTGACACTAAAAAATGCGCACATGCGTACTAATGCATAATTGTTTGCTATCTGCTCAATCTCAGTCTTTAACTTGGTACTTCTAATAAGGATTTAATTTCATAGCCTAACCAATTTTCTTATCAGGCTGATGATCATAAATATGTTTATCTTGTCTGCATATCTCGCTAATCAGCGCACGGATTTCAATTTGGCAGTTTCGTGTAGCCAAGGTTGTCGATATCGTTGGTTGTTTTAGGTGAAATGTGATTGTTGGACTGCATTTTTATTATAATTATAATTACCATATTATTAGCTTCATCAGAGTTTTCTTTTTCAGTGTGTAACACAGAGATTTGCTTCAAGTCTTAATTGACTATGAACCCTCCCTATTTTCACACATTATTACGTTGTAAAATAAGAAACCAAGTTAATAAAACTCAGAGGTGTGTGCGTGCATTTATTCACGGAAAGCACATTCATAATGACTTCAGAGGACAGCGCCAATAACGACACATGGCTCTTGAAGCCATTTCTCTTTCACGTTTGATCGCGATTACTGTCGTCCTATTCAAAATAAATATAGCCTGGTAATAATCATGTTATCTGGTACTTATTAGACAGACACATTTGTCATGGTGTTAATCATTGTTAAACTGACAAAAAGAAAATATGAAAAAGAAATGAAATGTGTCAAGCAGGTAGCTTCGTGCGCAATTATTTACACTATAGGACATATTTTCATATAGTCTACATAAAATGCTTAAAAATAAATAATTCATTACAACGCGATAATAACCTAAAGAAATTTCGCAAAATAATTAAGCTGTTTCATACGAAGTCGCTATGTCTTTCGTTTATTATTCAATTTATCATGCGTCATAAATTGTTTACACATAGCCTACATTTTTTAGGTGAATTAACTGCCAGTAATTTTCGGCAGACGCGAACTGATTACATTTGCCCTATTTTGTACACCTGTAAATCTATATTTGGGACGCAATGTGAAGTGAGGAAGTTTGTGGGTATTGTGCATTGAGAAAGAACAGGTCCTGCAGCAGATCCAGCCCTCTCCTTTATGGCTTCATCGAGGATATTGAGTAAGAATGTCAAGAGTGGCTTGTCTAAAACATTTATCACCAAAGATGAAGAGTATAGGCTACAAGATCATCAATCGCCGATGATGCCACAAGTGCCAATTAAATGAGATAATATTATTGCTTATTTAAATAGGCCTGAAATAAAAGTGGTTTGAATGCTTAAAAACAAATAACTAAATAGGATAGGCCTATTATTATTATTATTATTATTATTAAAAAGGTTTTGCTGCCATATAAAATGCATTGTAAAATATAAAAAGAAGACATTAAATTTGTGTTAAATATGAACAAAAATATAATAATATCCAAAATCAAAGAGATTATAAAAGCTCTTTCTTTCTTTCTTTCTTTCTTTCTTTCTTTCTTTCTTTCTTTCTTTCTTTCTTTCTTTCTTTCTTTCTTTCTTTCTTTCTTTCTTTCTTTCTTTCTTTCTTTCATTCATTTAGACTACAAATGGATTTAATCATATTTCATTGTTTTCATGAATGTGTGTAAATCTATGCGAGTTCAATTTTCTTAAATTCAAAACCAGGGCAAATTAAAATATATTGGCTGGGCATAATATTTCCCCATCCGGGTGAGCGGGACATTGATGGAAATTACTACACCCATGCCCTTTATGGATTGGGTTTTGTAAAGTCCGTAAATTCGTGAAAGAAAAAAAATATATATTAAAAAAAAAAAAAAAAAATAATCCATGATTCCATGTCGGGATACTGTATGTTATTTAGAGCGGTATTCATCATTTTGGATTTTCATTTCACCACTTTGGTTTTTGCAACAGTGTGTTATTAAAAAAATAATGGTGGTATTTTTGTGATAATTCTGGGTCATTTTGTATTGTCTTTATCTTACTGTTGCAGAAAACTATTAGGCTACTGTTTGTTTTATTTGAATGTATTTAAATTATTAATATCCAGTCAGGTACGCAGGGAAAACAATCCTGAAGAAACACAGAAAATAGCATTTACTTGTTGAACCTTAATAAGGATCATTTAAAATGATATAGGCTACATGCTTCTACATACAATATAGGCTACTGCATTTCTTTATAGTGTACCGTTTATATCTTCCGTGGTAGAAACTCTGCATTTTCTTTATAACCTAACTTTAATTACTTACAAAAAATTGAGCGGATTATCATCTTGCACACGTTTTATGAATACAAAAATCATGATAAAAATGTGTTTCGTTTTCTCCTTTTTCCCACTTTCCTTTCAGTATTGGGTTAGTTAATATTGCTTCGGAATTTGCATTTATAGGCTAGATGCATTTCAAGCGCATGCACCACTGACGAAGTTGCGCATGCAAAGCATTCACCTGCAGCATTAAAACCATTAACCGCTAGGTGGAGATAAAAACCCCTCCAACCATGTGGTTTAGTGGAAGGCTTTCAAGTGCCTGTCTTTAACTTCCCTCTAGGCTGGATCAAAATAAAACCAGGTCACCATAAACCCGCTTGCATGTGAATGACACTGAAATAGAAAAATAAAACTAGATGTTATGCAGTCATACACCCTTAAACTGTAAGCTGCTCCCCTGGCACGTCAACCTCAATGATCCAGAGACATTTATTTTCTATCACATCATGCAATAAAGATTATGACAGAGCCTGAGAAATCTCCAAAGTGTAGCCTACTCCTTCACCCCCCCACACATACAGTTCCCTCCATGTTTTCCAACAAGACTTGCATACTTACAGGAAAAGTTATCCCAATCCCCTCTCACTCACCTCTAAGGGTGCTCTGGAAGTGGGTTAGACTTGAGAAGAACCCAGGTGGCCACATGAAGTCTACCCAGCTGCATTCCTCAGCCTCTTTATTAATTGAACCATAAAAAAAGGAAATTAGCTGCAAGCAACACTGTAAAAGACTTTTTTTTTCTTTTGTCAAATCAATTTGGATAATTATTGTTCGGATGACATAATATTTAGAATATTTCTATTCATTAAACCATTAATGTATTAACTTAATTTTTTTTTATCTCAATGTAACCAGGTAACTTACTTTTTTTTTAATTAAACCAACAGTACACTCTAAAAAAAATGCTGGGTTGTTTTAACCCAATTTTGGGTCAAATATGGACAAGCCCAAACATTGGGTTAAAAAGTTATTTAAAATTCAACCCAACGTCTGGTTTTGTCCATGTTTGACCCAAAGTTGGGTTGAAACAACCCAGCATTTTTTTTTTTTTCACAGTGCCAGCAACACATGCTAAACTGAACATTATTTTCAGAACATAAATAAATGTGTGGCCAGTTCAAAACCCCAATGTGTTATGGAAATACAAAGGTTCTGCCCAAAGCGTCTATATTTTCAGTATATTATGAACAGGTAGCTAAATCTCTTAGCAATTAAGCTGTGCTCAGCATCAATCACGTTTCTCGTCCCATTGGCCACAGTTTTATAGCTGCTTCAGACACTAGCTGCTGAAAAGTTAAAAGTGAAGCCCTGTACCTGGATTATGTTGCCTTTTGATGTTTTTCTCTCTCAGACGTCCCTGCAAAAGACGTACACACACACACTTACACACAGACAGACAAAAAAAGGCCCCTTCTGCCATCTAAAGGCCAAAGAACAAGATAGACCACCAACAGCCACAGCATAGACTGTTAGGCTTTTATGGGCCTTGACCGCATAGTGGCTTAAAATGCGTTGGGTTCAATATTGCGTTGGCGGCGGGAGGGGGAATCAGTTGAGTCGGGTATACTATGGCCTCAAAGGCCTTTGGGAAACACCGTGAGTTGTAAATCCGGGAGTCCATGAGGCCTTTTTTATGGTGCTATATGAATGAGACTTGGGTCAACTTTCAATTCAGAAATAAAACAAACTCAGGCTAAAACGAGCTTAAAAGCACCACAGCTTTTGCTTCGGGCCTCATTCCAGACAAAAGAATCAAAGAGGACAAGGAACTCATTGTGCGACGACCGCCGAGACAATTGAATTGTGTACGATGGCCAGGATCTGGTGACAGACGAGTGATTTCATGGAAAAACAGAGGGGAAACAAGAAGGAGTAGGGAAGGGAAACTAAACTGCCCTTTTGAAATGGGGGAGGAGTGATAGAAAAAGGAAAAGAACAAATGACAAATAGAGAGGAGATAAACCACACTCCCTACCGACACACATCCAGGTCACTGCCTCTATAACAGTATCCCCTGTGCCATGGGGTCTTTCCTCCAGCATGGCGTCGTTTGATACAGAGACCAGGCCTCTGAAGCAACAGGGTGCCGACCCAATCACAGACTTCGCCCATCCCCTTGGGTTACTTTTGGCATTCACTGAAAAAAAACAGATGGCGTCTTGCATTTACCAGCTCGGCTACAATGAGCGTAAGGGATCTGTTGTGTTTTTCAGCCTGCGATTTTGCTTAAGGCTAAAACTCTGAACACAACGGCACAATTTTAGGCAAGACGGATTCTTCAGTTCACATGAAAGAAGCAAATCCGCATCCATTGGGTTTCCGAAACTCTGCAGGACTACATCTCCCAGAGGTCTTTGCGAGTCTGTAAAGTAACAGCACTGTTGAAAGCTTTGGAGGAGACGCCAATGCTAAGCAGAGCTGCTCAAAAGGGTGTTAGCACCTGGGTGGTAAGGCAACTTTCCCATGTCATAACAGCTCTGGCGGTTTCTATCACACCGATTACAAAGCTGTAAAAATACTTGAAATGCACCGCATTAAAACGCCATCGGATTTATTACTCTCAGCGATAACGCAACCTCTGTGTTCGTCAATGCGCACTTTGTGACACGTTGACTGACAGGTCCAAGTATGTGCTGTCAATACAGAACAATAGGCATGTCTTATTCAAAGGGCCGTTAAAAGAGAGGATGACATTGACCCCGACACCTCGACACTTGAAGGTGATACTTTGATCACTTCAGATTTGTCCAAACCCACGAAGAAATCACAGAATAAAACGATAAATTGAATTAAAAAAAAGTCATTCGCATGACTCAAGGAGAACCATGTGGTCTTAATGACAAAGCCTCTCTCTGTAATGACCTTAGTTAATGGCTACATTGCAAAGGGGCCAGGGGCCCATGTCTGCAAGACACAGACAGGAATGAGATGACAATAAGAGAGGCCAAGGCAACCAATCAACCACTGAGAACGATACCTTCTTAAAATAGACACATTAACGAGAAGCTTTGGAAAACAAGCTGATGGTTACAAAAACAATTTTGTCTATTTGATTGACAAAATTTAAATCAAAATTTGTTTTGATGGTCTTACGGTAACACACACACAAAAAAAAATTAAATCTGCATAGTTTTACATTAGAAGGCATGGCAGTGAGTGGTCAAAGGGAAATGTAAACCCCTAATTCCTACCAAACAAGCTGTTTCTCACATTTGGTTTATGGGAAGCACCACACACACACACACACCCAAAGGCTTCACACCTCATTAGCCGAAATAAAACCCATCCAAGCATTTGAACGACTAAGGCCAGGGTATTTTTACCTGCCTTTGCAATAATAAAGTATGTTTTGTGTGTTAGTTTATGTCCCAGCTTTGACTTTCAAAATTTTTTTAAAAAATATACTTAAATATTTAAGTAAAGCTTAAATAATATGTGTATTTAAAGGGATAGGTCACCTAAAAATAAATATTCTGCCATCATTTACTCACCTTAATAGATCAAAATTACCTTCTTTCTTCTGGATCATATGGAAATCAACAGACCTTGGACCTTAATGATAGATGTTCAATGCATCAATTCATATTGAAATTTAACACGAAAGAAAACGAGGCTGTGAGGGATAGACTTGCAGTCTATGCAAAGGCAAGCATGTACATAAAGGTCTTTAATTTAATTTAGAATTTATGTAAAACTGTTTAAATTATTGATTTATTTTTCTTTCTTCGAAAGATGTTTTGTCAGCTAAATATTCGGTATGTTGTTAAACAAGAGTACATTCCACTTAACCCATTGTACTATCCTTCACTCTTGTTGTTACCCTCATTAAGCTCTATGGTGACCAAAACTTTTTGGTTGCAACATTCTTCAAATATCTACTTTTGTGTTCCAGAGAAGAAAGAACGGCTTGCTACTCGGCATTCAGGTTTGGAATGGCATAAGTGTGAATAAATGACAGAATTTTCATATTTAGGCGAACCAGTATATTTCTTGAATTAAAGTGGCATTTTTATGGTAATTCATGTTTTTAATGCTTTATTTAGAATTTAAAAACATCAACATATATATACATATATATATATATATATATATTTTTAAATAAGAAATACAAGCAGGAGTCGGATAAATATCCCACATAATCTCAGTGAATAGGACTATGATTTTGCATTGTCATTTGAGACATGCACTGAAGATGTGAACAATCTGTAAAGAGTCAATTCTGAATATATTTCATGCTATAATTGTGTACTAATTAACAGAAGCCACCGTCTCACTGTGGGATAATTTGTCATGGAAAAATGTTTCATTAGGCCAAAGAGTAAAACAATCTAACTATCACATTTTTCTTTATCACTGTGTGTATGCTAGCGGATATGTGGGATTTCCTGTGGCAGCGTGTCTTCTCAGTTTTAAATGTGTCCATTCTCACTAGTCTCCAGTATTTTTTCCTACTAGCAGGCAAGAAAGAGAGGGACAGAGAAAAAAAAAGCAATATACTTAAGGTAAGTTACCTACATTTTTAGGTAATACAATGAAGGAGACTCAAAATGTTATGTTATCTAAAAAAAAAAAAAAAATCACATTAATTATCTAAGTTAATGTGACTAAGGAAAAAAGTAAAAAAAAAAAAAAAAAAAAAAAAAAAGCAAAATAAAGGCAAACTGTGCCTGATACATTATAGAAACATAAAATAAGAGAGATACAAAAAAATAATAATAATAATAATAAATAAACTCCCCTCGTTTTTACAAAATTCACATCGTTTGAATGTCCTACACTTTTATAGCTCTGGGTAAAGAGATTTACAGCTGTGTGTTTCTCTGGGTTACATAGCCTTTCTTATTGCAGGGTGAAAGGTCAGTGATAATGTGTATGGGATGAAGCAGAGATGAAACACTAAAGCTTGGTTATCTCTGCAGCCCGTTTCCCACAGTAGATATGTCATAGAGGGCCTCTTTTTCCTTACCTTCCCTGACCCCTGCGCTGATGTGCGCGTCTGGATGGTTTTGTCATTTGTTGTGCTTAACATTATAGACATCGTTCACCACCAGGACAGGACCAATCTTTGCTCGGTGCAGAAATTGCTCCTGCTGAAAACTTTCTGATAAGTGTTGATGTCGGAATGCCGTCCATGCTGCAAAACTACTGACAGGAATTACAAAGAGCATATATATATATATATATATATATATATATATATATATATGAATGTTGTTTTACTGAGACTGACTGTTCTTTCTTTTTGAGTACTGAATGTGTAAAAAAAAGATTTTTGTAAAAATAATTATATATTAATGTTACTTTATGATATTAATATAACATCAATATTATGTTTCCTTTGACTTACAGCTTACATGTTTTTTTTTATTAACTTTGGTAAAGTGTACATTTTCAAAACTCTCAGTCGAAAAATCTAAATTGATCCCACTTGTAACTCATTATTTCAAAACCTGATCCCATGCTTTCATTAATGGTATGCACATTTCACTCAACATAATCATTGTTTCAAACACAAGATTATTGTAAAATGTAATGTGTACATTTGGTTTAATCACCGAAACACAACAGTATGATTATGAATATACTGTAGTTGACCTTTACAGATTTACGGAGTTGTGGCAGTCTTTATCATGGTAAACTGTTTGATGCCATCATGAAAAAACAAAAACTGTTTGATGCCATCTGTCTCCCTTCTACCAATGCATCTCTGATCAATCTGATGCTATACTACATTCTCTCTCCCCTGTACTATACACTCTGAAAAATGCTGGGTTGTTTTTAACCGAATTTTGGGTCAAATATGGACAAATTGAAACACTGGGTTAAAAAATGTTATCCAAAAATGTAACACAATAGCTGGTTGTCTATATTTGACCCAAAATTCAGTTAAAAAACCCCAGCATTTTTTTAGAGTGTATCCTGCTCTGTTTACAAATTGCAAATCACACAAACACATTATCTATACATTACTAATGTAAAAAGAATTAAATAATTTATTAATTACATTTGGTTATCCATATCTGAAAATGCAAAGTTCTATGAAAACTGTCTATGGAATTAATATCTAGAAATCTAAATGTGTACCAAATGATTACTGTAATTTCATTTAGATTAAATAATAGACAAATGTATTACACTGACCAAGAAGAGATGCAAATTAAAAGTTCGACGAACTTTATGAAAGGCACTGTGAATGAAACATTTATAACTGAAACACTTATTTTGTGTTAGATACTTTGTGATTTTGTGTATTGTACTAAGATATTACTAAGAGAATCAACTTATTTGAAAATAGCACCAACAATAATAAACAATTATAGTTTTGATAATATCGAAGCAACAAAGTTCATTTGTTATCCAACAGTAACGTTGTTTCTGTATCAATTTGATCGCAGCAAAACATACTGTAGAATAAAATACAATAAATAAACAATAAATAAACACAAATACAATAAATGTGCAACAATACAATACATGTGCATTTTGTTTATTTATTGAAATACAATAAATAAACAAAATGCGCATGTACACCAATCAAAGAATGTTAGCATGTGAAAATGAATGGCTTTTGTTTATTTTATATTATCTAAATATTAAATCAGTCATATCCAAAATTACAGTAACTGAGACAAAAAGATCATAGACAGACAGAATGTAGATAGATAGATAGATAGATAGATAGATAGATAGATAGATAGATAGATAGATAGATAGATAGATAGATAGATAGATAGATAGATAGATAGATAGATAGATAGATAGATAGATAGATAGATAGATAGATAGATAGATAGATAGATAGATAGTAAAAAGTGATCCGTTGATTTAACTCAAAAAAATTAAGGAAAACCGTTTCATTCAAATTATTAAGAAAATAATTTTTACAAAACAATCAGTATATGCCACACAAACCCTCCCCCACTACAGAGCATTCCAGGTAACATGTGGAAGCTAATGAGTGAGTCCAGGCCACATTAAGTGCATGCTACATAGGTGCTGTACAGGGATGAACAGATAAGAAAAGGAGATAGGAAGTACCTCATACAGTGCCTCTCTTCTCTCTGAACGAGCTGTTCTCTTTGATTAGTCAAATGAGTGGAGCGTCTGGTTGTGGATGTTAACGTGATTAGGCCTTTGCTCTGATGCCTTGATGTCACATACCCTAAAACCAGAGGCTTTAGTGGCACTGAAGGCCAGCTGGTAGATATGTGGCTGGATTCTGGACAGCAGGCTAGGGTGAGGACAGCTGTGGATGGAAATAAGAGGGCTCTTAAAGGGCCATAACTGGACCACCCATTGCTCTATGCCTTTGAGTAACACTAAACAGGTTATAAATATCATTCTCACAACAACAACAACAACAAAATAAGATATTTCTGTCATCATTTACTTACCATTATGTCATTCCAAACTTGGATCTTTCTTTCTTCTGCAGAACTCAAAATGTATTTATAAAACCCTTTTCCACAGACAAAATAAGTCTTTGAGCGACATGAGCGTTCGATGATAGAAATTAAAATTTTCAATTACAATTTTTAATAATAACTAATAACTAATTGCTAAGCTATTTTAAATAACTTATTAACAATCTAAATCTAAACTGAGTTATTTGGTAATGGCAATATAAAGAACAAAAAATATATTGGCTAAGAGTTTGGTGTTGTTGTTAACCCTACAATGCATAAAGGGGGTCAAATTGACCCGACATGCTGTGATTTTTTAAATATTTGATCAAAGAAAATATATTCTTGATAGTAATTTTAATAAGTTAAAATTATTTATTTAAAAAACGTGTTTCTGACCCGCATCAATGCAATTTTCACATTTCTTGATCATGGGAAAAATATATAATTTTCATTTATTTATTTATTTATTTAACAGGGGCCATATAGTCAAAGATAGTTACAATATAAAGCCTGTAACTGATATGCAGCATATAGAGTTTGTAGCTAATTTTTTTTAACTCCTGTCCCTTCTAACTACATTATTAATAATACATACAAATGAAAAACATTCACATTTCTTCACAAACACACACACACAGAAAAATAACAATACTTAAAAATGGTTAGTTTTGGTTTGCCTTTAGCCACAACTTAATCCTGTAAGTGAACTTTTTAAAGTCAGATATGTCCTTAATGTCAGATGGTAACGAACTCCAGAGTCTAGAGCTCTTAAAAGGCTTGTCCTACAGTATGGTATTGTACAGTTATGATTTGTCTGCCTCTGGGAACTCTTTTGCTGTTTTGTATTTGAATAAATGGTAACTCTTTATTTTGATGCTCCCTTTTGAACATCCTGTTAACTATAAGTAACTTTGCAACTACATGTCAACAAACTATCATTAGAGTATTAGTAGACTATCTGCTTAATATCTGCCATCTCTAGTAACTTTGCAGCTACGTCAACTTAATCTAACCCTAGCCCTGTAACTAATATTCTATTAATACTCGATGTAGGTGCAACGTTATTCATAGTCAATTGAATGTGTTAAAGGGACCATCCAAATAAAGTGAAACCGAATAAATTTACATACAATAAAGTGGCTCGGGTGCTAAATTATTAATACACTCGAAAGTTAATTACTAAAGCTTTCAAAGCCTATATTATATTTCTCGAGTATACCAGTGATGGTAACATATCCATAATTATTAAATTTTGATTTGTAAAGTGAACTAATGTGTTAGACGGAGCTGCTTGCGCCCAAAATGTCATGCAGTGTAAAATATCATAGCATGCATGTACAGCAGGGCTGCCAGGTTTGGTATGTAATTTCTGTTGAGCTTAAAACTGTGTATTGTTCTAGAGATTGTCTTTATATGTTTAGCAAATTTAAGTTAAGGATCTATGACCAATCCAAGATATTTAAATTCTGTAACAGATTGAATTATTCCATTTTGTAAATTCATTTTTAAATCTTTCACTTAGATCAAGTATCTTAATAGACAGCCCATTCTCACCCCCAAGGCGTCACTTAACTGACGCCTTGGGAAGCATTTGGACATGCTTCAATATCTGACGCTTTAGGCGCCCTTTAGCGTCAGTTAGATGACGCCCCAGGATCGCGTGTACCCTACCCCCACCCCACACCTAAACCTAACCGCGTCCTCTAACAGACGCTTTCCTTTAGCGTCAGTTAGATGACGCCGTAGGATCGCGTCATGTAAGTGACGCTAAAGGGCGCCTAAAACGTCAAATATTGAAGCATGGTCAAAGGTGACGCCTTGGGGTGAGAATGCGTTGTAATAGAAAAACACATGGAACACTGTTTTTGTCAAATTTAGCACCAACTGATTTTGATTGAGCCATTGTCCGACATCAGCCATACATCAGACAGTACATCAGCAGCCAGCTCTGGTGACTTAGCGGATGCATAAAGTACTGCATCATCTGCATAGAGCTGAAAGCTGGCATCTGCACAGTTCAATGGCAAGTCATTTATAAAAAGAAACAGCAAAGGTATGGACTAAGGGGGATGAACTGACCCATATTAATTTCCTATGGAATTTTGAATCAACACAGTATTTTTTTCATACATTTTTGTCAATAATATTATTTATTTTCAGAAAACTATGGATTACTTATATACTTACAAATATTTTACGACTTTTTTTTACTCTGAGCTAATTATTTGCCTCAGCACCAACTCTTATATACCTATAGGTGAAAAGTAGAATGACAAAATGAGTAATTCACAGTGTTCATAAGATGGATGACCTACTACATACTATTTCCACCAGGATTCTGAAGTTCCCGTGGAATGAACACTATGCAACAATGCTATTGAGGCGGATCTAATACAATCAGATTGCATTCATACTAAACACAGTCATGCAATAATTTCCATATAAACACATCTTCTATACATCGCCATACATCACTATGCACTATACATAACATCACTTTTGTAACAGTGATGAAGATGTTCATCAAATGTAGAACCAACTTAGAGAGTGTATGCAATTTCAAATGCAATAGACGAGTAATGAAACACTGCAGGATTCAGTTATAAATATTTTAAATAAATAACGTTGTTAGTATATTGCACACACGCCTTGTGCACTCCAAACACTACGTTCAATATATAATCTTTTTTTTTTTTTTTGCTACCAATCATATTAGGTGGCCTACTCAAATAGAGTAACAAATATTTATTTGTCAAAATAATGTTTTTATCATTTACAGCATCAATAATTCTTTTTTGGTCAGTGTACTGTATAATATAAATAGTTAACACAGTCTCATCCCAAAAAGTCATATAACTGACGTCTTGGGACGTTTTTTGACCATACGTCAATATCCGCCTTTTTAGGGCCCCCTTAAACGTCGGTAGATGGCGATCCCGGGCCGTCATACAACTGACGCTTTACCTTTAACGTCAGTTAGGTGCACGGGTTAGGTTTAGGGTTAAGTTTAGGTCTGGGGTAGAGTTAGGATCCCATAACCTCATCTACCGACGTTTAAGGGGGCCCTAAAAAGGCGAATATTGACGTATGGTCAAAAGACGTCCCAAAACGTCAGTTATATGATGTCTTGGGATGAGACCGGGTTGAAATAGTATAAGAATTATAAAAAAGAGAACACTGGACTTTATTGGCTGTGATGTGGTATTTGAGCTAAATGCTGTCATTGATTGAAAATCTAGAAAACTGTTAAGGCTCCATGTTTCCATGTGTGAATCGTAGTGGTTCTGCACAATGGCCACTCTGCTTTCTCCAGCTCTGTGGGCCTTTTGTATGGGACTGTGTGTGTGTGGGCACACAGGCATCGGGCACACCCTAATACTGTCCGGGACAGCAGTCGTCTCCAAGGCTATTCGTGCAGTCACAAGCAATTAGGAGAATCATCTCTCTGAAACACAAAGGTTAGCAGCATGCCAGCTTTCATCTCCACTGTCCCTCTCAGTGTGCGGGTGGCATTGTCAAAGGCGGCCATTATCCAGCCTCGCAACTGCCTGGCCAGAAATAAATGATATTGTTGTGTTGAGACGTCTCATAGACCGCCTGTAGAGGACTGCCAGAAAGCAATCGAGGATTTCCCTAACTGGGACGTGGGAAGCATTTCTTCATCTTAAAATACACTTTTTTTTTTTTTACGATTGCTATGACAGATTTTTCAATAGTTTTAACAATTGTCCAAAACTCTTAAAGGAGTAATTCACTTTAAAAAAAAAAAAAAAAAACTTTTGCTGATAATTTACTCACCCCCATGTCATCCAAGATGTCCACGTATTTCTTTCTTCAGTCGAAAAGAAATTAATGTTTTTGATGAAAACATTCCAGGATTTCCTCCATATAATGGACTTCATTGGGAACCAAACTGTTCAAGGTCCAAATGAGAGTTTCAGTGCAGCTTCAAAGGGCTTTATACGACACCAGACGATGAATAAGTGTCTTATCTAGGACCCTTCGAGTCATGGCTCGAAAAAAGATTTGTTCATTTTGATGAACAATTTTGAACGGGAGAGTCACGAACGCTCATCACAGAACAGAGCAAGGCGAGAATTGGTGCTTATAAAACTGAAACTTTTTTATTCATTTTTTACATGACCGATCACTATGCTGATAACGACGGAACTTGCGACCATAGTTGGCTAACGATGCTTTCGGGAAACGCACCCCTGGCTTGATCCCATGGCCTGGAGATGGAGATGGTTTTTCACCATCATCCACAGGACCAAATGTCCCTCCTGGATGCAATGGATGCTGCATGCCAAGACATCCCAGAACACTGCCAGGGGTGGATACGGAATGCTAAATGATTCTTCCCAAGAAGCCTTGCCAGAGAAGATATATCAGGTGTGATGTGGATGAGAACATGTGGCCAAATGGAGAAGACCGGGATGATTAGAAGATGGCTTTTTCTGTTTGTATATTTTGTATTTTCACATACAGTAATACTGTAAATGGCAGCTATTGCATCTTGCAGAAATGTCAAAGCCTTTACTGCACCAATTCTGTCTCTGTCTTCTTTTTTTCATGAACCATACATTCTATACTGCTATTCTGAGAAAGGTCATTATTTTTTAAATTTGTATTGAATCTCTACAGCAAAGGAAACAAGATGCACACATTTCCTAAACCCAAACAAAACTGTAGAGAGTGTTTTGGTAGACATAGTGTATTGTGTTGGAGTTTAGTTTACAGTGTGTGATTTTGAGCATGAAATTGACCGTTTTACCAATTGTGTGTTGGTGTGTTAAGGAAATCTGTTAAAAGTATTGAAAAAATTGTCATAGAG